ATAGTTCATTAGAACACAACCCATGAAACACAAACGGAGTATAAATTAAATATTTCTAACACATCTATTTACATTTGCCACGAACAGCAGGGGGAACCTCCTAGAGGCGACCATGCCTGAGCCTGCTGTTGCAGCCAGTCACAGCGCACCGCCGCTATGTGAGGATCTGAGCGGCTCTGACAGTGAAATAATATTTGAATGTAGGATGGTAATCTGGATGGACTGACTGCACAGACAATGTTTTGAGGTGGACTTTCTCGCGTAAAAATATATTAAAACTGCTTTTTACCCACTGACCACAGCAAATATAGCAAAGCCGCTCTCCGCCGTTGAACACAGGAGCAGCAGAAGCACCAACTACTGGAAGCTGACTGTAAGGAGATGATGCGGCCTGCTCATTCGCTCTGTTATCAGAGAACCAAGCCACAACTGAATTACGCCGAGCCCTACTGATAAACTAGTATCATGTTACCTCGGTTCGGTTGTAACTGGGGCTGGTCACTTCAGTTTGTGGGCCGTTTACTCTCAACAGTTATCTCGGTTACCGTGTTCGGACCGATCTCGGCATTGTTTCAAAAGAGTAGTGTAAATGGGGCTTTTATCAAGTAAAAACAAACGTGTGTGATTTTTTTTTTAAATGGTACTGAATGGTGTCAATAGAGCAATAGAAAAGACTTCAGGACCTGCAGGTTCCGGTTATATGTGACAATAATCATTGTTATTTGTTAGATTAGAAAACACCTGATTCTTTGTGGGTCAAAGACAGACAAACTTCTTCTGATGAGGATTTATTGAAGTTCGGGTTTCGGGTATGAGGATCTTCACAGAGGACGGCCTTCGTCGTTCAATGCTAACATAGTTTTTACAATAGATGACAAGGGGAAATTTTACAATGAGAGCACACAGAGAAGTAAGGTGGGAATCTTGAATGACACTAATCAGTTCCCAGGGGTAATGGGAGTGAAACCAGCATGACAGGTTTCAGGCTGTTCTTCTGAGACATGCCTTCATCTTTGCCCCAGGTTAATGGTGATCTTTGCGGGGCCACATTCTTCTCTGCATCGTATCATTAACTATCACATGCTCTGTTCAAAACTGTCATTAAATCGAACACATATGAATTTAGGTCCGATCTTGTCCTGCACAGAGAAGCCAACCATTGCTCTTTAAATCCCACACTAACATCTATCTCACTCCAGTCTTTCTCAGCTCACCATCTCTGCACAAGATCACATTGGCTACCGTAACAGGTTTTACTCAGGAATTGGTTGGTAATAAATACAAAGAACGCATCTGGAACAAAAGCAACACAGATCTCTGTACTCGTAGTAAAACATGGTGGTGGCAGCATCACTCAGCTGCTGATAAAACCGTGAATAGATGATAGTTCTAGTCTGTTTGACCCCAAATCTTCAATTATCTGAGAGAGAAAGAGCATTTTCAACATACACGGTTCCCGCGGGTCCTTAAAAAGTCTTCAAAATGAAACTGAGGCCTTAATTGGTATTAAAATGTCAGTCTTTCGTAGGTCTTAATTTTTAAAACATCATAAATTGTATTGTTTTTATTATGGTTTATTTTTGTAATCTAAATAAAACATTAAAATAGACCCTTTTTT